GGATACATTAAAGCATTCTTTAAAACATTAAAGATTTTTAAACAGCTTCTTTAATGATATGCCTACCAATCTGTTTCTTTAGCAGAGTCCAGTTCTTTTCATTTTTTTGACAAAAAAAATCACACTAAGAGCATTGAGGACAGAGCTAATAGCTTGAAAAGCTATGAAGCTATAGATCTCAAAACTCCTGTTGACATCTTTCACAGGTATTGCTATAAACCAAAATCAGTACCTAATGTGTGCGTTTTAGCACAGAGGGAGAGTGATGATGAAAGAGAAAAAAAATGATGGAACCAGACCAAAAGAGGCAAACGATCAACTTCATCTATTAAATCTAAACAGAGCCGCTTAGTCTGTCAGTAATCACTTCCTGTGTATTTGGATGACAATCCTGCATTTTTTTTATTCTACCTTTAAATGAAGTACTTAGCAAATGACAAGTACACTCTGTCCATGTATGTGTGGAATTTAAAAGAATATGTTCAGCCTGCTCTAATCCAACACTTGTATACAAAATCCAACCAGTTCCCTGATTAGTAAACAGCATTTTATTGTAATTAATTTTTTCTTAAGACAAGTGGATCTGAAAATAACTTCTGATAAACTAAGCAGCAGGCAGACAAGCAATGTGGCGTACAAACAAAACTCAAGAATCAGTGGACATGTTGATAGAAGGAATCCTAAAAGCAAAGAATAGGTGTGAATGAGGAAACAGGGGCTTGATTGGATAGAACAATCTGGCAATGAGGGATAAAACACTTGATAGGCATATAAATGCTGAGGCGGGAGATCAGTGGCATGAGAACCAGCAGGTTTACTCCAATTAACAACACGTCTTATGAGAAAGTGAGGGGCAAGGCAACACAGAATGATTACAAACTTTAAAAATCAACATTTCAAGGATCATAACATCAAGAAAACCGCCTTCACTGACAGGCCAGACAAGTAGAATATTAATCAGAGAAGCAGACAAGAGCCCATAGGCAGATGATTATGTTGTAAAATGAGGGAACAAATGTAGGATATTACAGGCATCACCTTATAATCGCCATGGCAATGTGCACCCCACCCTCCCCACCACTTTATCTGCCAGCAGCCTCCTCCTCTCTGTAGCTAATGAATACAGACATCCTCTATACAATCGACTGGAAAGTTAATACAGCCGCGTAAGAACATTTTGTGTGTCGTAAAAACGGAGTAACGGTTTAAATATATTTCCTCTAAGATCAAGATCTCAGGTAACTTTATTCTATTTTTACTGCTATTTACAGTTTGTGCTTAAATTGAGGCTATTTAAAAAGTTCATGAGTAGATTTGATTAAACAAGAGCCCCTTGGATTGTTGTTCTACAAACAGTTTTAGTCCGTGAGGCAGACACCCTGTCTACTTTTAAGGCTAGGCTTAAAACTTTCCTTTCTGATAAAGCTTCTAGTTAGAGTGGCTCAGGTTATCCTGAGCTATCTCTATAGTTCTGCTGCTATAGGCTTAGACTGCTGGAGGACATAGGGACCCCTTTTTCATCATTCTGCTTCATTCTATCTCTATTCTCCCACTCTGCAGAATCTGTTAGTTCAATCTCTAACGTTCTGCTCTCTCTGCTTTTTCTCATAGTAGCTTCATCTGGTCTGTTCCTGTTTGGCTGTGACTCCATCCTGGAGAGAAATATCAGCTGTGCTGCTGCCATCAACACCTTTGTTTCTAGATGTTGGAGCTTGGCCTGTTTTCCAGTGTAGTCCTGTTTCTCTGACTGTGACTAACTGGATGTGCTCTCTTCATCCTCTGACATGGGAGCTGGCTCGGAGCTCGTCTGCCTGGCTGTGTGTTTCCTGGACGGGGCCGCCTGTGGAGCTGGTTGACAGTTGCCTTTTGTATCTATGCTTCTTTTTCTATGTCTGCTTCTGTCTCCTTGAACCCCAGTGGGCCTCAGCAGATGGCCGCTCACACTGAGCCTGGTTCTGCTGGAGGTTTCTTCATGTTCAAAGGGAGTTTTTCCTCTCCACTGTCGCTACAAGCATGCTTAGTGTGAGGGATTGCTGAAGAGTCCATGAGTCGATGCAATCAGCTGGTTTTCCTTAGATAGAAAACTTTGAATCAATCTGACTGGATGATCTGGTGAACTGGAAAGTGACCTGAGATGACATGATGTGAATTGGAGCTATAGAAATAAACTGAATTGAAATTGAATAGCATTCAACACCTGCCTGCCAGGACTGATACAGACCGATAAAGGTCTTACCTGCAATCAAATGAACGTTTTTATGAAGTATTTAATATGTAAAAGCTTTTCTACAATAAGGTATTATAAAATCTAAAAAGGTTAGCTGTGATTCTATTTGGTTTGGCTGACGAGGTGGTGGGTCAGTGGAATCAAACTGTCTCTCAGATGAACCAAGCCCAGGGAACTGATCATTGCTATTATTTCTGATATTTATTTCATTATTTTAGGTCAAAAAATGGGGGAAGCAGAAGTTGTGCTCCCCCGCTATAGAAAGGAAAAGTGCAGCTGCTCCACTTGCTACATTTTTCAGGTGCCTATACAAAAGCCCCTTCTACCAGAGGAGCTGTACCAATCCACAACTCAGATGGGGGAATCTGTTCAGAGGAAAACTTGGATTAGATTTACGCACCACAAAGCTAAAAGGGGGAGGGGCAAGAAAGCTGTTGTTGAAACAAAGCTAGAAGGAGAATTGTGCTGTGTTTGGAAATTAGTAGAAATGAATAAACTCCATTTCAGTTCTGCCAGGTACTAAACAAGAGACACTATAAACATAGAGGATGATTTCTATCTACAAATTTCAACTTTTCACTGCAAAATATTGGGTATGAGGGGAGGTGAAAACAGCACATCCCCTTGAACACGTCATCCCTTATAATAAAAACACTGCCCATGAAAATACAATAGATATAGAGGCTTAAATCAGAATGAGTAAAACTAATTTAAAACCAAAGCTAACTTGTGGATGAAGACTGTCTGTCTTCATCCACAAGCTGTTTAGCAGAGAATAGTGTGTAAAGTATTGCCTCAGGTGGCGGAAAACAAATACAGGCAAAGAATTCTAGAATGTGTTTCTTTGTGTTGTTCTACCCATTAAATTTAGACAGACATATTTGTTGTAATCATACAAAAAAAGTACAAGAACTTTAAATACTTTTTACAGTTATTGCGAAGATAAATTTGATATGTTGTATGTCCAGTGTGTCGGTAAACAGATTACTCCGCTGACTGAAAAATGTGAACATAATCTAGCATAAAGATATACAGATGTTCACAGTAATTACATGAAGACTTCAGAATGACAGGTGTGTGACCTGAAAAGTATTTTTGGGTTGAAAAGAGGAGAAACTTAATTTCCTATTTCCTTGTAAATCACATCCAGGTGCTGGAAGACAGTCGTGGTTAAAACATTTAAAATCTCAGTGTGCCTCAGAGCTGTTACCATAAACCCTAGATTGCATTGTGAATAGACGTGAGTTTGACCAAGGCTCAGTGGTGAAAATAAGGTGAATTTCCTGTTTTAAAAGAAGTTGGCTGTTTATAAAGAATGCAACCAAGCGTAAGAGCCACAGCGTCACATCATTTCTGGGGAAGCTTTGATATCTTCCATTGAAAAAGGAAAATCTCACATTTTTACCTGCACAGGTTGCAGAGGTGTCACTTGTAAATAGTTTTTCAAAATAATGCAAAGTTAAATTGATGTAAATGATTTCCAAAAAAAAACTGCTGAGTGTAGATGGTAGAAAAATATAGCAGCCTTCTTTCAGCCAGCTGACCAGCAGTATGAAACACTTTGCATCCAGTGCACTTCTGTGTTACTTTATGCCTCATGCTGGAGAAAATGGGTCTTAGTTTACTCATGAAATAGACTTTGACTAATAGAAAAAGAATAAAAAAAAGATTAAAAGAGGGATTGTGAGGCTGCAGCTTTCATTTGGTCGTCACCAGTGCCGGCCGCCACCCTTCCTTTCACAGATGAAACTACAAAACAAGATTGTGCACCAGAATAAAATAAAAAGCTGTGCCACTGATATCACAACTCAAAACTCAGGATATAAATAATGGACTTTTTTTTAATATAATGCTCCAGTAGACGTATTCCCCTCTACTCGATGCCTCCCTGAGCAGTTGCCTATTAGGCCATACAATAACTAATGTCAAGAACCTCACAAAGTCAATTAGATAATGGGAATTATATATTTGTGAAGAACTTTCTAAAACTCTGCAAGAAACAATTTTGCTGATTAAATGCAAGAAAACTGGTTAGAATTTCAAGGATAAACTTACTTAATCTGAAGTAGGAATACCTAAAAAACGTGGATTTGCCACAATTTTAACTCTTTTTTAACTTTGTATTTATTATTTGTGGGGTTTTTTTGTTGATGAGGAACCGAAACAGGTCGTTTTCTCAGCGTGTGATTGTTCTGTGTTCTGTTCAGCACATCTTTCAGTGGTCCCTGCTCAGCCAGGCGGTCTAGAGCACAGATCTCCTTCCCTTCCCCTATTTTGGGAGGTGGGTCTGTTTAAGGAGGCTATATGAGAAGCACGTAAACATGGACTCAGCACCGAGAGCCTCAGCTGTTGCTGATTAATCATCATGAGGACCGTTTCTCTCACTATGCCATCGCCTCCATGAAGGGGGGGAATCCCTTCTGGAGCCCCCATAGGTCCACAGCAGCTCAACCTGTTATAGGATGAGGGCAGGCCGATGCTTTCCTTGTTTGTTTTGTTGGAGTGCAGAATGCAGGTTGATAATAACTGAATGATAATAACGGTGATGAGGAAAGTTCAAGCCTCCGCTGCAAATGTGGCTCAGAGACGCCGATTATTAAATGTCACACCCATTTAGACAGCATCACGAATCAACGTGATGGTTGCGATGGATCATGTCTGCAGCGCGCTGATGGTTAGAGAAAGCGCGTGCAGAATGGTGGAGCGCATCAATGCACGTGATTCCTGTCCTTCTAAATATGCAATGAGAACATCCAGCAGTCTGCATGACAGGTGTCACTCTGAAGCACATTAGGTCGCATGTTTGCATGTTAATTATCACTCACCTGGATCTGAGTGAGTTTCTGCAGACAGCTGAGCAGCTCCTCTTTATTACTGTGGAGTAGATGAGCCGCCAGGCGCTCCTATATCATCTGCAGACCACAGTGAAGCTGCCGTCTCCTCCTCATGGACAAGGGCTGCATGCAGGTCCCTCAGCCTGCAGAATGCTGCCAATGTTTAGACTCACTCTTCTCCTGCCTTGGCGCCCTCCTCCTCAGATTCCTCCCCTGTCAGATGAACGGGTCAGCTGCGAAGGAGGAGGAGGAGGAGGAGGAGAGTGGGTCGGTATTTCAGGACTCCACGCTGGGTAGGGATGGATCTCCTTCTTGCGTTTCTGCCTTCTTCCTGCAAGCCGTGAATCAGCGCTCTACTCCTCCTCTCCTCTCCTCTCCTGATGCTGCTCCTGAAGATGTGGAGAAAATCTCTCTCTCAGATGACGAACCGCAATCAATAGCCTATTAATGAACGCGGGATTTCACCCGTGGCCTGTTCCGTGAAGTTGGCCCACTCAGCTGCGTGTCGGACTTTGCACATCTGAGCTAAGGCGTTATTTTCTCTCCTTCCTCTAAAAGCTTCTGCGGGCTGTCATCCTCTGGAGCCGCTGAGAGAGCGGAAGGTGTGAAATGGTCGCGCCCCCCCTCCTCCTCCTTCCGCATAAAAAATAAATAAATGGAAAAATCAAAGCAGTCTTCCGCGAAGCTCGCATCTACGTCATCATCAGCTGGGGAGAGAAAGCTGCTACGCTATAATCTCTGCCGCCAGTTTTTACTAGACGCCGCTAGAACATCCAGAGGAGATCTGTGCATGTTTAAGGTTAGTTAAGACAACTAGGTCTCTGCTGGTAGAGCTGGTTAATCACCAAATGCAGGGAAAACTGCAGGAAAAGCAGGACATGGATGAAAAACAGGTAATCAAGGGAATATTGATCAGGTTGGAGATGATGGTGAATCATAAACATGTGGACTAGACACAAGGCTAAAAACCAGAGGAAGAATCAAACTTATATCAAATGAATATTAAATAGGCTACAGCAGAAAGCAAGAAACTTCATGCTATAAACCAATACTGAGAGACATTTGGAACATAGAGAGACAAGGTCAGCTCAGATCAATGTGGAAAGCAAATGATACTAAACTAAGAATTGAATCTCTACATTTCAGTGCAGGAGGTGGGAAACAGACGGATTCTATCTAAATGAACATCTGTGTCCGATAATGTCCCTCCCCCCCCCCCCCCCATTTATGAAGCTGGTGCTGAACTGGACAGCTCCTTCAGTGACAGACTGCTGCACCCTAAATGCACCAGGGAGCGTTATCACAGATCCTTCCTCCCAGCAGCTGGAAGACTCTAGAACCACCACTGTTCCCAACAACCTCAATAAGCTGTAACATTCATGCTGATTTTAAACAGCTTCTGTCTTAGTCAGTTAAATAACCTGCTGCTGTCATTTTGCACATTCTGTGCACACTCTGATGTTGCTGCTATTTTTAAATATCCATTACTGTTAAAGTATCCACAGCTTTATATTAGTTATCTATATTCCAAAAAAAAGCTGGTTGCCAAGTGATTCAACTTAGTTTCTTGGCATCTCTGATTTCTACCTTTTTAAAAGCCAGTCAGCCATGGTGGGGGTAGTCATTTCTTACATAGGTAGACAGAAGAATAGCCTCACATTTAATCTCTACATTTCCTAAATTTCCCATTAGTTTGATAATGATTTAAAAAATTCATGAATCATTTTATTGTTACAAGTTATCCGACCATAATATACAGGGTTAGACTTCATGTGGTGATTTATTACAATGTCAACTATTTTGAAGGGCTGACAACAAAAGGGGCGTTAAGCTGAAGTCAGGCTGAGCTTAAAGCCGGCAGACCAAACCAGCGCATTCAGCTCGGCAAAGAACTCATGCTCTTCCTCAACACTGAAGTCCTCAGACATTTTTCTTTCGTTGTTTCTTTCTTTGCACAGGTAAACAGCACATTTCTTCTTCTACGCTTGCATTATCGGCAGACCAGACGCTGAATGCGCACTTTCATCTGGTTTGGTCTGCCGGCTTCCGTAGCGTCGTGATCGCGCAGGTGCGCGCTTTCAGGAAATACTATACACTACTGTTTATGCTCTAAAAACATTCTAAATGACTTCGTTTCGAGTAAATTCTGGATGCTACCCACTCAGGACACTTGGAATACATTGGACGAGCAGTATGGAGGAATATTGACACGTTTTTGTGGACTTTTATGGACCTTTCTGCCTCGGGCGCCATAGACCTCCATTATTTGAATGTCAGCAGACAGCAAGAAGCCTCCCAGATCTCCAGATGCATTTGAGATATCAAAAAAGTACTCCAGAGTGTTGTTCAGCATGGGGGTGAGTAGAAAATGAAGGCTAATCATGTTTTGGGTGTACTATTCCTTTAAGGCCAAAATAACAAACAGCGAGCTATCTAAAATGTGAATCCTGGAAACTGTGAGGTAGGGTCTGTAATGCATGGACAGAATCTGGAGACCTGTTAATTCAGTCGAAACAAGTAAAAAACTGTTTAAAGAATTTATTTCAAAGTAAATTGGTACATAAACCAGCGGAGGTGGGGAGGAGGGTTGTTGGCAGAGAATGACTAGATGCACTGAATATAAGCCACTAACCTTCTCAGGAGCCAGGAGGTAGCAGCCTCTGTGATGATTGATCCCAGTGGCTCTGTTTCACTAAGTGACTGATAAAAATCTTGACGGTGCAAATCTTACATTTCAATTGTGCATATAGGAAGGAAAAACTAACAGATTATGGTCTATAAATACTTAAACAAGTCCCACACTTGATCAACAGAAACTTTTTGTTTTGTAATATGAGTAACTGGGCAAGAGCTGTAATAAATATGGTGTTTGTTTTTAAACTTTTTTGAAAAGTAGCAGACAGGATGATCTATGCTTGGAGAAGAACAGCGTTTCAAAGCTCAGACTCAGTCTTCAAGGAAGACAGACAGTACGATTACTCAAAAAATGTTTATTAAAAACAGGTCTGCAGGGAGCAGCTAGGGCGTCTAGGGCAGGAATCTCTGCAGAAAGGAAACACAGGTGAGGGACCACCTTAATCTAGTGGAGGGAGATTATGAACGTGAGTCACTAACCTGGTTTCAGTCTGTACCCAGAGAAGGAGGTAGGATCCAGCTGGTCTACTGTCAACAAGACGCAACGGGCACTGCTCATAGAGTCCCAGATGCTGCAGCCCCGGAGGATGAAAATCAAGCAGGAGACCAGATCTGGGCAGTTAAAGGCAGGCAGGATAATGCAGAGGGTGAAGCCAAAGTCGGTACCAAGGACAGAACCAGGAGATGAGAAGTCCAAAGAGGTTCCAGAGAGAAAACCAGGTCGATGACATGAAACAGCTACAAGTTCATTCAACAGGCAGAATCCAGCAGGAGTCCATAGAAATGCCAGGCAAACAGATCAGACGGGAACAGGCAGGCTCAGTGGTTGAGATGCAGAACAGGTCAGGATCTCTCATGATGTTTTAAAGAGATCTGACCCACATGCAGGAAACCACTCAGAAAAACCAGAGTAAAAGTTTAACAGGTTTATTAGGAGTCCAAATGGGTTGGATTCAGGTGAACTCAGAGGGCTGGTGAACCGGAACTGCAAGTAAGAGGGGAGGTTCAAAGAAGTTAGTTCAGGATCCGTGGGAACTTTGAACTTCGTCTTGCAAAAACAGAGGTAAACTGGACTCACGTTTGCGGAGAAAGGTTTCTTCCCAGTATCCAGTCGGTGGGGGTTATTCCAGAGATAGAGTGGCTTGTTGGAGGGCGGACAGGTTTTGGTTTGGTTGGTTCCTGAGGAGCAATGGAGCGGACTGCCACTTAGATTTCCAGGAGTATTTGAATGGGACGTCTGGAGAAACAAATCCTTCCAGGGGGGAGAAGGCAAATAATCCAGTATGCCGGATGACTTCATGCCGAAAGGCAAAAGACAAAAACGACGTTAGAACTCAGAGAAACAAAGACTCAGTTAGACTAAGCTAAACTCAGCTCGGGTAGAGTACCCAAAACTGGCAAACACTCTGGCGTCAAGTTAGTGACAGACCGCCGCTCAAATACTCCCCAGTGATGATCCAACCAGCCGCAGGTGTGCAGGAAGACCAACGAGGACAGGGCACCACCTGGTGGTGGAGGGAGAGAAAAACACCAAAACACAGCCAACACAGACTGGATTCCTAACAGGATCAGGTAATCAGAAACACTTCAGGTAATGCTGAAATAATCTTGCCTGATGATTGGAAGCAGGCAGGTTAAAACAGATCAGACAATAACAGGAGGGCTCAGTGATTGAGAGACAGAACAGGTCAGGATCAGGTCATCAGAAACACTTAAGGTAATGCTGAAATACTCCCACCACTGGCTCGTGAATAATGTGGCACTGATGTTAGAGAGCTGATTAAATAGAAGCAGGAGCAGGTGGATCAGATGAACTATAATGAGAAAACGGGCGGAGTTACTGTAGGCAGGTGAAGGAAATGAGTAGTTAAGCCAGTCATCAGCACTGAGATCATGACACAGCTGCTTTGCTACATGAGCTGGCATCAACTTAGAGGAACCCTTAAAATGTGGTGCAGCTAGTTCTGGTGCACTGCACAACCGTGCTTTAGCTGAATCCAATGCAGCCTGATAAGCAGCATTTGAGACCAAACAAAGGCTTTCAGAGAGCCATATCTTGACAGAAAGATTTTTTCAAAGCCCACAACAGAAACCACATATTCCAAAACAGAGTTGCAGAGTTGTCTGTGGGGCAGAAAGATCAACTATTGGCTTCATGGTCCGGTTAGCTGTTCTACTAAGATTCCTGATTTTTTGGCAATAAGCTCAGGTACAAGTTCATATGCCTGGGTGCAGTTTTTTCAAGAGCTCTGACCAGATGTTTCGATAGACAGGCTTCCATGCTCACCACAGTAGAGACATTGCCATTGTGGTGTTCAATAACATCTTTATAAATACACTGTGGAAGAACCACAGTGGTGGTTCTTAGAGCAGAATTTAACACTGCTGATCACTCTCTATTAGAGGGCCTGAAAAACTGGGCTGCCTTTGTAGTCCTCCTGCAGGACATTACCAACTTATGTTAGTAGGGAATTCTACATCAGAGACCACAAAGAAATGACTTGTGGCATTCCCCAAGGGTCCATCTTAGGGCCCTCCCCGTTCATTGTCTGTATGCTCCCAAACCTACGATCGTTTTAATCAACTTAAATTATCATCTCTATGCAGAAATTGATTTTTTAAAATCATTTCTGGACCAAGGGATGAGAGTTAATAGTTAGAACACAGCTGCCACTATTACAAAGTGATCAACTCTGGCCTGAACCTTCAGAGGCGCATAAAGACAGTAACAAAGTCAGCCTATCAGCTAAAGAACATCTCCATGATTAAAGGACTAAATTGTCAGCATAATCTTCAAAAACTAATTCATGCACTCATCTTAAGTAGAATTGGTCACTGTAATTGTTTCTATACAGGTCGGCCTAAAAAGTCAGCCTGTCAGCTGCTACTGATCCAAACTCCTGCTGCCTGCATTCTGACTAGTAAGACTAATAAAGTGGAGCACATCACCCCAGTTCCAAAGTCCTTCCACTAACTTCCCGTCTCTCAGAGAATAGACATTAATAATAGAATGAATAATAACATAGAGAATGGCTTAGCACCAAAAAACATTTTTGACCAGTATTCAGTATATCTACTGCCCAGACCTCTCAGGTCTTCTGGCTTTAATCTAGTTTGTACACCAAGAACCAGAACTAAACATGGACAAGCAGCCTTAGTTATCAAGCTCCGCTAATATGGAATAAACTCCTAGAGAAGTGTAAAAGTTTTGAAGCCCCAAGTTGTTTAAACCAAGATTAAAACCATTTTTGCTTAAAATGGCTTGCTGTATTCCAGGACCCACAACCATTGGACCAAACATAGAAGCATTAACTATGAGCTTGACTTAGGATCAAACATGTTTTTCCCCCCCGCCAGTTTCTGTGAGACCTTCAGTACATCCTATGTTAAAACAGACAAAAATCGATGCTCTTCTTTGGTCATTTTTGCTGCACTTTTGCATCTGTGGGTACTTAGCCATTGATGCAACAGAGTCAGAGTGCTGATGAGACAGACAGCCAGACTGATCAAAAAGGGAGGATGTTAAACCACCCATCACCTCTTATTACAGTGTCACAAAGAGCTGAAGTGCTGCAAAAATTCCCAGGATAAAAATAACTGTATGTAAATTCATTTTCAATATTTAATTTTTTTTTTTTATAATTAGCTCTTGGTTAATAATGAATTCTTGTCCATTTGTCCAGAAACAACAGAAAGAGACTTGGGGCAGCCCTCCCTGCTGCAGCATATAAAGTCCTTTTCCTTTGGAATGCTGCCTGTTTGCAAAGCAGGGAAAATCAATTAGATCCGATTTTAATTACACAACCCAGCTTCGTATTACAAAATTCTAATAACTTGTTCCGATTTGCCTGTCTGTAAATAGAGAAGTCATAAATAATCACTTACCCAGAGGGCAGGGGTTGTGAGGTGGGAAAGTTTATGATGAGCCATTCCAGTCAACATCAGCATGTCGCCTTGTCTCTATATGGGGCTGTAATCAGCATGGAAATAGCTGCATTTTAAATGAAGATGTCTTATCTGAATGAAAGTGTGTGACAGCTTTTTACACTCTGGACAGATTGGTGTGTAGGCTGGTTAAATGAACCTGGAACCAGCATGCATTGTATGATTGCATATAATTGGAATCCTGGACCTATTTTTACTCCTCTCATCAGAGCTTAGAGATGACTAATGGTAAAATACCATACCTGCCAGTTTTCCTTCTATCAGATGTATTGATAATATAGTGACTGGTAGCATTAACTAAAAATTGCAACTCTATTCTTCTACATCATGGTTCCTTCTGCTTCATAGTTGACCATCCTGTTAATTGTAAAAGTGTTCATTCCCATAACCTTCCCAGGTAGAATCAAAATCTTATTTTATATCAGTTTGGATTCTATATTACAGACCAACATAAAGGTTTGATTAAATTTGTGTTACAAATATTGGTTGATTACACATAAAATCCTCTATAATTTGACTTGCGTTTTCTTCTAGCCTATTTTTACTCTGATTTACCCCAAAAAACTTTCACCATTAGAAGTCATAGAACTATTAGAGGTACAAATGCAAACCAACCAATGTGTATAAGATGACAAGCAAGACAAGGAGAACACCAACCAGAAAATAAAACAGTTACTGACGGAGCTTAAATGGCAGAAACTCTTGACCGGTCAGCAATAGCATTACAACTCACAAATCTGTGCTAAATGGAAGAACAGCAACTTTTAAAGAACTTTGACAAAGAAGCTGGTCAGAATTGATGGTAAGGAGTATAAATATGAAATAAAATATGTAAGGAAACCAGTAAGAGGCTACAGAAGACTTGAGACTTCAGCTTTGGTTTAGCTTTTTTAACAACCCAAACCATATGGCACATAAAGAGTTATTCACACTTCAGAAGGTCCAGGACTAAGTGCAAACATGAAGCAGTGAAGAGACTTGTGCTGCGTTCACACCGGACGCAGCAGGTGCAGCAGAAGCAGCGAGTTTACATGCAAAGTCAATGGTTGACGCGCGTCAAGGCGCAGCAAAAGGTCCCGCGGCGCGTTTTGAGCAGCAGGCGCATCTGAGCAGCTGAAGCAGCGCGTCGGGCGCGTTTAAGCATCTGACGCGCTGCAAACGCGCTGCTGCTCGAGATGGAAAAATTTTACTTTTGCTGCTCGACGCGTCGCATCAACCAATCAGAGGAGCTGATCTGGGAGCTGGCAGGGAGACAGACACATCGCTGATGATACAGATCACTATGATCGCTCCTCTGAAACAGTTTATTGATGCATAAATTAACTTAAAATGCAGAAAATCTGCCGGCAGAATATGTTCGCTTTTATTATCCTGCTGCCTGCAGATCGGATTATTTAGATGAAAAACACCTACCAGCCGCCGCAGTGAACCGCCAGGAGGCGACCCGGCCAGAGGCTGCTGATGAAGGGATTCCTACTGTCGGCGCACCGCCGGTATGTGGGGGTCTGAGCGGCGCCGACAGAAATAATATTGGGAGGCAGGATTGTAATCTGGATGAACTGACTGCAATGATTAAGTTTTCAGGAGGATTTTCTCACTTAAAAACATATTAAAACTACTTTATTCCCACTGATCACAGCAAATATAGCTGCAAGGCAGAGAAAGGATAGTGAAGCTCCGCCCAACGTGCGTCAGACACACTTTTGCACCGCGCAGCCAGAGCAGCAAAGCAGCAAAGCTGCTTCAGCCGCGCGTCAGAACTAACTGGTACAAGCAGCAAAAAGGAAGCAGCAGACGCGATTTTGCTGCTTTTGCTGCGTCCGGTGTGAAGGTAGCATTAAAGGTATAGTGGCAGATTTTCATGAATTTATGAAAAGACCCGCCCTCTCTACTTTAAAAAAAAAAAATGCACATGCACAACCCTGCACCTGTACTGAGAGGGAATGCCTAATAGGCCGCGTGCGAGAGCGTGCACGAGCCCATTTCTCCTCGTGCACGCTCTCTTTAAAAGATGCTGTTTGCATCGCTCATACAAGCTCACTTTCAAAAAGAAGATTTGCAATATTTACATTATGTCAGACTCTCCACCGGTAAGTGAAAATGGGGACGAGCACGTAGGACGGCGTTACGTAGACATATCACCAGAATGATTAACAGTTAAGAGGACCAGTTATGTTGATGATCCACCTGGAAAAAGAGCATCCTCCACTACTGTATACCTTTAGGAAAATATAAGCAAATAATAATATAGCATAATATAAGTAAAAGTTGTACAAAACTGAGAGAGACTAACGGCGACAAACTTGCAGCCATAATTTCAGAAAAAGGTTTTACTTCTACTTTACCAATATTGTCGGGATCTGGAGATCTGCCAGCTGTCTCCAGCAGAGAGCGCTGTGGGCTTCCTGAGCTGGAGTCCTCAGCACACCTGGGGATCATCAGCTCATCAGAAGACCTCCCTACATAAGCAGCAGTCAGACCTTCCTTCGATGCCGCAGTGTTGACCTAGTTTGGTTAGCGAACCTGAGCCTCTGAAATCCTAGTGAATACTAGTTGCCTCTTGAGAGAAACTAGCCTTCTAACTTGTTCTTGTCTTCTTTGCTCGCAGAAACCCGACTGAAGTCTGAAGCTCTGGATGAACATAACCTGGAAATCTGCCTGCCTGCCCACGTAAGCCAAACCTGAAGATCTCAGTCTGGATTCCTCCGTCAGTTCTCTAAGAAGAGCTAGGAAACAAACCCAAGTCCGAAAACTCTCTGGCTAGAAGCTAGACGCTGCTGCTGCTGAGCTCTCTGCTACTTCCACAGTCTCTGGACCCAACCGGTTCCCCCTCTCAAAGGATCTGTTAGAACCTCTTCAAGGTACGATCAGAATTCAACTCATTCGTCAAGCCATAACCACCTGGCTAACCAAACTCTCATCTCTCCAGATATAAGAGTAACCAGTCCCGCCTGCACCAGAACCAGTTCCTGATTAACTCTGTGTGTGTTTCCCAAATAAACATTGTTAAACTTTTCTCTGTCTCCGTTAGTGTTCTGCATGTGGGTTTTTGTTCATTAAACCAATCATGACAAATATCCCTTATGATAAGACACGTTAAACCAGTTAATTCACATAAGAACCAATCCCAGATAGAATGGATAGCGCTACGCTGCTATACTAATGTCTCTCTACCCATGCTAATAGTTGTGTATGCTTGACCTGCAACAACTTTTGCAGGAAAATAATAATCTGTGACATTAAGGGCTCAGCTGGTGGGGAGGAAGAGGTGAGAGCAAGAGCCATTGCTGACATCCCCCCCTGAGCGACGTCGGCTCTCAGCAGTTAGTAATGTATAGTGAAGCTGTGAGATAAGAAAGGTAAAGCGTCACCTCCCATCACGATCAGAGGACCTCGGGCCTGGGGGCCCATTTGCTGTTACCAAAGAGTGTTTGCAGCTTGACGCAAAGGTGTCGGTCCGTCACAGAGAGCAAAGCAACACAACCCCGGAGGACTTGGTAAAAAAAAGAGTGACGAGTGTAGATATACAGGCTTCACCTTAATGAAACGCTGGCAATGCTAAAGGCTCACATCATCTAAATGACAACAGACACGATCCCTCAGTTACCTCCTGTCCTTCCCAGCTGGTAAGTTAGCTTTTCTCTTAGTTCCAAGGTTTTGGAGAAGTTGGTGTCTCTGTGTTTTAAATTTAAGGAGATTCTTCTTTTAAGCATTTTCTCTAAACTCTTTGCAGCACTGAGCACAGAGGGAATGAAGGAAAAAATGAATAAATGTGTTTAATCTAAAGCTGTAAGTCACTATATTTTAGGTCAGCCAAATTATAAGTGGAAAAGTCATAAATGCTTTTTTCTGTCATAAAACTTTTTAGTAATGAAAACTGTCTTAGAAGAAGAGAAAACAATCCAATGAATGTAAATACAAACCGTCATTTTCTATGAATTTCTGTCAATACTTGTATGATTTCTCTTGATTTGTCCATTCGATGTGTGATCACTGGAATGTTATTAAGATTACAGAGAAATATGAATATAATAAAAAACCCAAATCACAAATACATGTTAATTAATTAGCAAAATGACTGGAGCTAAAAGGACATCATCTTAGGTTGTTTGAGTAGGAAGTAGGCTGCAATTCAGAAAGTTGCATAAAAAAATCTTTGAAATGTAAAATGATTGCATCTTTTATGCAACATCGCTATAGAATTGGATGCAGTATTTCTGACCCCTCCTCTATCAGGGAAGATCAGTCCTAGATTGCCTCCATCCTGTAGCTCTCCTATGCATCTCTGCTCCAACACACCTGATACAAAAGTCCAAATCAAAAGTTTATTAGAGCTCTAACCATTTATTTGCTTACGGTGTGTTGAAGAAGGGATGAATGCAAAAGCTGCAGGATGATGCCACTCGAAGCGACGTTGTGGAATTAAAACGTGATCTGTGGCATATTTAGAACCCAAACTTTCCAGAATAAATGTCTTCACACCTTCTCTACTGCGTTTGTGTTTTCATGATGCTGCCTCAGTCAGTCTGAGCCTTCACTAAACAGCTGGATTTGTATTCAGATTGAATTTTTCACAGATGATCTTCATGTGCAAATATATCGACTCCCGTTTTCTGTTATCCAGGGATGTCAGAGAGAAAAGAGGGCCTGAAAAATACATTAAAACTGACGTTTGCGGCTGTAAAATGGGGAAAATCTGCTTTCTCCAATTCTCTGTGTATAAATATGCTAAACAAGAGCTTTTTTCTTGTTATGCAACATCAACAGAATTTCACCACCTCAGGACTAAGCATTTGTAAATGCGAAGTGGAGAACCAACAGGGAGAAGTCCAGCCCTAAGTGTTCATAATGTGTTTACCCTCAGCTCAGATAAAATCCACAGAGACTAATATTTGGCCTGGTGGAGGCTTCTGCAGCAATCGGATCTAAACATTCAGACACTCACAATATACACTATATTGCCAAAAGTATTTGCTCACCCATCCAAATTATTGGAATCAGGTGTTCCAATCACTTCCATGGCCACAGGTGTATAAATTCAAGCACCTAGGCATGCAGACTGTTTTTACAAACATTTGTGAAAGAATGGGTCGCTCTCAGGAGCTCAGTGAATTCCAGCGTGGAACTGTGATAGGATGCCACCTGTGCAACAAATCCAGTCGTGAAATTTCCTCGCTCCTAAATATTCCACAGTCAACTGTCAGCTGTATTATTAGAAAATGGAAGTGTTTGGGAACGACAGCAACTCAGCCACGAAGTGGTAGGCCACGTAAACTGACGGAGCGGGGTCAGCGGATGCTGACGCGCATAGTGCGAAGAGGTCGCCAACTTTCTGCAGAGTCAATCACTACAGACCTCCAAACTTCATGTAGCTCAAGAACAGTGCGCAGAGAGCTTCATGGAATGGGTTTCCATGGGCGAGCAGCTGCATCCAAGCCATACATCACCAAGTGCAATGCAAAGCGTCGGATGCGGTGGTGTAAAGCACGCCGCCACTGGACTCTAGAGCAGTGGAGACGCGTTCTCTGGAGTGACGAATCGCGCTTCTCCATCTGGCAATCTGATGGACGGGTCTGGGTTTGGCGGTTGCCAGGAGAACGGTACTTGTCTGACTGCATTGTGCCAAGTGTAAAGTTTGGTGGAGGGGGGATTATGGTGTGAGGTTGTTTTTCAGGAGCTGGGCTTGGCCCCTTAGTTCCAGTGAAAGGAACTCTGAATGCTTCAGCATACCAAGACATTTTGGACAATTCCATGCTCCCAACTTTGTGGGAACAGTTTGGAGCTGGCCCCTTCCTCTTCCAACATGACTGTGCACCAGTGCACAAAGCAAGGTCCATAAAGACATGGATGACAGAGTCTGGTGTGGATGAACTTGACTGGCCTGCACAGAGTCCTGACCTCAACCCGATAGAACACCTTTGGGATGAATTAGAGCGGAGACTGAGAGCCAGGCCTTCTCGTCCAACATCAGTGTGCGACCTCACAAATGCGCTTCTGGAAGAATGGTCAAAAATTCCCATAAACACACTCCTAAACCTTGTGGACAGCCTTCCCAGAAGAGTTGAAGCTGTTCTAGCTGCAAAGGGTGGACCGACGTCATATTGAACCCTATGGATTAGGAACGGGATGTCACTTAAGCTCATATGTGAGTCAAGGCAGGTGAGCAAATACTTTTGGCAATATAGTGTATTTGCAGAGGAGGACTGGTTAGACTGGTAAACCCATACTGGGTCCATTACCTATGAGAGGCAGGTTAGGACTCTGGAGCTTTTCATCGCAGCCCTCACACACTGAGAGAAGGAGAGACTCAGCAGCATGGGATGGAAGGAGACAGTCTGGAGGGGGTCTCAGTTTGTGTGCAAAGCAGCTCTGCAACGGGACCCCCTCTGCCCAACAGCCATGTTTCCATGACAACGTGTGGCCCCTGCCTCCCTGGCTTGGTGGCAGAGAGAGTGGAAGTGACGGCGGCGATCTGCACGTGTTCCGTCTGGCTCATTATGTGGGGAATGAAGTGAAACAGCCAGAGGCTGCATTTGTTCTGCGCGGACTACCCCTCAGCTGCCAAGCGTCCGTCTATTTATAGATATGAAATGAAAGAGAGAGAGAGAGAGACAGACTAAACCCAATAAGTACAGGAGCCATTTCTTCACTCCCCAAACCCACTTCTTCTTCATATGAATGCTGCCTTTTTTTACAATGTTTAGCTTTAAAGCTCTACATAACATATTTCAGCAACTCTAGAGTTTGTGGATTTTGCTGTGAGGATAAAATGTAGTCTAGATTTCTCTTTTCTATTCAAACATCATAAATATTTTGCAGCCCAGTTATGGTTAAATTATTGAAGGAATCCTGAAGCCACAGTCTCCAATCCACAAAGACAGCATGAATCATTTAAAAAGGCCTATTTTTGAATCCAATTTCTAAATTAGACAATACTTATTATTTGCAATAGCAACGTTAACCTTTCAACAGGTCCTTTCAACATTTCAAATCAACCTTGCTGTAACGCTCACCTTTTTCCACACAGTTCCTCTGATGTCGACTAAATAAATAACACTTTTAAATGCACTAATTTAAAGCCCAGGATTCCTGAAAATATTGTTAGGCTAATTGGGTATAGATGACAATTTGCAGACTAACTAAGATTTACATTTAAAATGTGAAAAAAACTCTACTATCTTATTGCAAATGCATAAAATGTAATAATTGTATTTTAAGGTTATAAACTCTCATTTAAATTATGGGGGAATGCAGTTATTTTCTGAAAATTTTACATATTTTGAGGTCATTTTTTGTTTAATCAAGCACCCTTCTTTAACTGAGTAGAACCATTTTAAAGCTATAGGGGAGGAGGTTGTTTTTCTGGCTGGATCATCTAAATAAGTGGTCCTCCTGATTGTCAATCATTCTGGTGATATGTTCATGTAAGGCCATCCTTCGTGCTCGTCCCCATTTTCACTTATCGGTGAGTTTTACATAGTGGAAAAATTGTAAATCTTCTTTTTGAAAGTAAGCTTGTATGAGCGATGCAAAAAGCAACTTCTAAACAGAGCGTGCACGAGGAGAAATTGTCTCGTGCACGCTCTTGCACACGTTTAATAGGCGTCCCTCCTGGGAGCGGGTACAGGGTTGTTTTTACGAACTGTAATCATTTTGTCTTATGTTTGCTTTTAAATCAAATGTTTAACAGACAAAAGGTAACCTGAGTGCTGTAGTTGTCATCAGAAAAAAGCCAAATAGATCATCATCAGGGAGTCTCTGACAGAGACCATTACCGAAAATCAATAATTACATCTATGAGATGCTTTGTTACATTTTTTTTCTAATTTAATCAAAGAGTTGCATTTTAAACCCTCCCTTGGTTCCTGGTAGAGGCAATTAAAGATGTTTTGCTATCAGCTAAACAGTTGTGAAGGAGGTTTTTATGTTTGCTTAGTTACCTGGATGGTTTGCCGGCTCTTCACCATGGCAACGCTCTATTGAGGTGGGGCTGCATGTCTCACGGGAGCAACATT